TTTTGAAGTTTCAGAAGCAGAGGTGTTAACTTTTTACAGAGTGGGGTTTCTAGTCTCATACCCAGCCTTCCCTCTTTATCGGGTTTATTACCAGCAAAGAGAGGTTAAGAAATGCGTCAATTGGGGATCGAATCCTGAACCACATTTGCTGATGTCAGAAGATAAAGGAACAGGAAGATGCTTGCAATTGCAGAGGCTTGAGCAATTCGAGTTTATAAACCAGGTCTCTGTGTACAAACGGAAATAATGATCAGTCTGAATCTACCATAGTAATATGTTTTAATTACCAATTGTTATTATTACTACCATCAATATATTTTTCTCCTCCCTTTAATTATTTCTGATTTATTTAAAATTATCTTTTATCAGTAACATTAGCCTAACTCGTTCTACCATTATTATTACTACCACTAAGATTTTTATCAGTATTATTCAGTTCGAAATTCTTGATATATTCTCTATTTGTTTAAGTGATGTAATCGAAATGGAATACATTTTATCCTAATTTTAATAGTTTTACCTGATTAATTAAATGTAGTTTATTTGCTTATCAGTCTTATATCTTCCAATGCGTTTCTAATAGTATATATATATATATATATGCATGTAGAGTATTCAGCTGAGAAGTTCTACTGAAATTTGACGAATTCATTAAATCCTGCTTTATTAACCTTTGATTGCATTGAGGATTTCATCATGAGCTAACATCAGTTGCAGAACCACTGGAAAACCTGGGAGTACTGGACAGCTGTTTCGTCCTAGTTTGGGACTCTTCAGAAGTACGCACCCACCAAGGTTCGAACTCAGGATATTCTGGTTACAAGGTCAGCTCGTTTGTTTTCAGTTCGCCTAATTTTTAGTTTTTCTAATTGTGTCAGTGGGAATATTCAAATAACCCCAATTTACTTCCTTAAGCGACCCTAGTCCCTATCCGGACTAATCCGAATCCTAGTCTTTCCCTGATCTAACCTTGAACTGGCCAGATATGCTGTCTGATAGGCTTTCATTACCATATTCATGAATACGGTATTATTCAACTGATTTCGGTGCTTTGCTCAAAGTCATTCGTGAGTTTGCGTCTGTCCGATGCAAATTCTTTAACTTCACCCCTTCAAGCTGCTACACTTTTTTTCTTGAAAAATCATGCATAGTGAGGAAACTAGAACTTGAAACAGGTGAATAATGGAGTGGTTTTATGATATACCCTAACACTGATGCTTATTGTAGTATTGGTATGTTCATATAATGACACAAAAATATAATATTTTAGATATTTGACATTAAATTATGAATCCGTAAAATTTCCATGAGGTATTTTTTTGAATAGTACGCACCCACCGATGTTTGAACCTACGACGTCCCAGTTACAAGCCATGGCCATAGACCATTCAGCCACTGGGACCCTATCTGATGGCCCATGAATTCCAACTTCTACCAATTCGTGATGTATGTAGCTTCAGAGTTCTTGCTGTTCTGAAGCAGCTGATGTTACTTCATAGTCATATCTACGCTTCAGGCTTCAAAAGTAAACATATAAACTTGAATTTTCATGATTTTATTCTTCTACATGAGCAGCCTATAGCATCAAGAATTCTTCGTTTTTACTTGTGTTTCAAAGTGGGACTCACTTAAACTGGAGGTATTTAGGCTATGCCATATCACCTCCCGAATACTGGAGAATGTGACGTTGGAGCTGTATATATAGCATATTTAGCATGAAAACCATTGATATCGGGTGTACATCGGCCGGGAATCGAATCCCGGATCCTGTGCATGGTTAGCGAGCGTCCTAACCGCCGACGCACAATGCTTAAGGAAGTAAGACGTTAAGAAATTAATTTTGGAATGATCTACGACTGTATTTGATCTCTTGAAAGTTTCTAACATACTTCATGACTGGTGGTAACATCAGACTATATGAAGTAAAGCTCGAATTCCAAGGCAGTAAAAAGCCAAAAGCATCCACAGATGAGAAGAACACATTCACTTTACACAGATAGATTAGTCATGAGACTCTTTAAGTAAAAATCAAGATATTATATCGACTGGTAGAAATGAATCATGAATAACAGGAATTATATGTTGTTGTTCTGATGAATACATTATGTATAATGATAACACACTTATGAAGTAATGAAACAGAGTGTTAGAAACAGCCTTTTTTACAATAAAACTGTCTTATAAATACAGTGAGTAATTTTCAAGTGTTAGTTTGTAGGAATTTCTTTCAAGTTTGATAATAGATTGATATCAGTCAGATAACCGATGAACAGTTGTTTCGTCCTAGTTTGATACTCTAACTGAAATCAATCCGTGATCAAATATGAAACAGATCAAATCCCTAAAATATAAATCTTGAAAATTAATCTGATGCTCACTACTGACTAACTACAGGACAAAGTTGACTGGAGTTCTAGTGAGAGGTCATGACCTGTCGGATTTGATGACAAATACTCGTAGATGATTTTGGTTGGCAATGGTGCTAGAATCGTAAATTAACAGAAGATTAAATTCACAATTCACTGAATTCCGGACCTATTGGGTGAATGGTCAACGAGCTTGATATCGTAGCATAGAGGTGCTCAATTCGATTCCACACGAGGTCATCGGTGCATACCGCTGAGCAGCAATCTTCGTATGTTTGGCATGCGATTCGCCCCTGTGAAATGTAAGATGCTGCTACAGGACTGGACTACGTCAACTCCTAGCTTAGTGATAGGGAGTGAAGCGATAGAACATGTTGACCACTTCACTTATTTGGGAAGTTGTATCAGCACGGATCCAAAAAGCTCGGGCTGCTTTCGCTAACTTACACCATCTCTGGCGTAGGCGTGACATCCGACTATCATCCAAGGTACGTGTGTGCTGCTAAGCAGTTCGCTCCGTCCTTCTCTATTGCTCTGAAACATGGCCAATACGAGTTGAAGACATGAAGAGGTTGACTGTTTTTGACCACAGATGTTTACGATCTCTTTCTCACGTTAAGTGGCATAATAAGGTAAGTAATGTTGACGTTAGGCGTAGAGTGTTGGGCAGAGAGGGAAAATCAATCGAAGAGGCTATAAAGTTACATAGATTGAGATCGTTAGGTGACGTGCTGCGCATGCCTAACCATCGCCTCCCCCGACGGGCATTACTAGCTGATATAGGTGCAGGTTGGAAAAGAGTAAGTGGTGGCCAAACAAAACCATGGCATCAATCCATGAAATCCCTGACAGTTAAAATGAGTCAAGTAGGGAGATGCAGACTTCCGGGTTGGGGCCCTCGGGACTCTAAGAATCACTAGCTGGAGACAATAGGTGACATGGCTCAAAATCGTTGTCAATGGCGCAGATATATTCAGTCTATATAACCTTTCATATCCGTTTCTACCATTACTCATTCTGTTTCACTCTTATACTTGTCAAAACTCTATTGATTCTCTTCACTCATTTTCTTGTCTACCTTTGTGTGCTCTTTGGAACGTGGCAACTCGAACTGCTGCACTTCGGTGCCAAGTTCTATGTTGAATCCAGACAAACAGACAGACCGCTGAAGAATCAGTCCCAAGTTTAGACGAGACAGCTGTCCAGTACTCTTAGCTGGTTGATTTTCTGTAGTTCTCTAACTAACATCAGTCCGTGATCAGACTTGAGAACCATCCATATTTGTCCATAATGAATAATTTTTTAAACAAAAATAATATAGAGTTGGACTATCATTGGAAACTTCAATAAGGAATTATACGTGGGGGTGGGCGTTCTTGGTAGACACACACACGAAAAAGTTACGCCTTATAACTACTTTCTGACACTTTGATGTCCATAAAAGAGCTTTTTTTAAACTTCACGCATTTACTACGGGTTAGTATGATTGGTTGATCAAGGTCATTGCATCCGTTTACTAGGTAGTTTGGTGTTGGATCGTTATAGCTTATAGTTACGGCCTTTTGAATTATATATGAGTAGCAAATGACTACGTTTAGTTCCCACTTCACTTATCTGGGAAGTTGTGTCAGCACCAAAGGACTGATTGGCGACGAAATCTCAGCACGGATCCAAAAAGCTCGAGCTGCTTTCGCTAACTTACACCATCTCTGGCGTAGGCGTGACATCCGGCTATCAACCAAGGGACGCGTGTACTGCTCAGCAGTTCGCTCCGTCCTTCTCTATGGCTCTGAAACATGGCCAATACGAGTTGAAGACATGAAAAGGTTGACTGTTTTTGATCATAGATGTCTGCGATCTCTTTCTCACGTTAGGTGGTATAATAAGGTAAGTAATGTTGACGTTAGACGTCGAGTGTTGGGCAAAGAGGGAAAATCAATAGAAGTGGCTATGAAGTTACATAGATTGAGATGGCTAGGTCACGTGCTGCACATGTCTAACCATCGCCTCCCCCTCCCGACGGGCATTACTAGCTGATATAGGTGCAGGTTGGAAAAGAGTAAGTGGTGGTCAAACAAAAACATGGCCTCATCAATCCATGAAATCCTTGACAGTTAAACTGAGTCAGGTAGGGAGATGCAGACTTCCGGGTTGGGGCCCTCGGGACTCTAAGAATCAATGGCTGGAGACAATAGGTGACATGGCCCAAAATCGTTGTCAATGGCGCAGATGTATCCATTCTCTGTAATCTTTGATATTCCTTTCTACAATTAGTCATTCTGTTTCACTCTTATACTTGTCAAAACTCTATTGATTCTCTTCACTCATCTTCTTGTCTACCTTTGTGTGCTATTTGGAACGTGGCAACTCGAACTGCTGCACTTCGGTGTCAAGTTCTATGTTGAATCCAGACAGACAGACAGATGTTTAGTTGTATGTGGATTCGGAAATAAAATACACGTCTAGATTGGACATTTGTCTAAATATCTGTCTCTAGTAATTACCGATGGTATACGTAATTTTTAATCTGTCGATAAAGGTTAAAGGGATTGAAGTTAATTAAATTTTCCTATTATTAGTATTATTATTATTCGTTTTAATGTATTTGTATATTTATTTTGATTTATTTTACAGCGTTATGGTTGGTCGTGTACATTAATATTACTCTCTGCATTTATGCTACATGGTATTTGCTTTTCATGCCTTTATCGTCCATTGAAACCAAAAAGCAAATTAGAATCATTAGATTTATCAAAAGAGACAGATGAGACAACTGTTGGTCTAATAGAAGAAATTCAAAGTAATCTGATAGCTTCAAATGCTTTTATCAGGTCAAATGTATTTTTTAATTCAACTAATAGAATTAGTCAAACTTTATATGAAGTAGAAGAAACAAATGAAGATGAACAACACCAACACCGTCAACAACAACAGAGAAGTTTAAATAAACAACCTTGTAAAACTAATGAAATGATGAAAGAGTATGATGTTAAAATGTGAGTTTATTACTAATTTTGTTTTTTCTTAAGGTTATCTCTTAAGTCAAAGAAAAAGTCTTAGCAAGAATATTGTGCTTTCAGTTTCCACCTATTTTTTACGCCAGATTAAGTGGAATTTACTGTTAGATGATTTGAGGCAATCGGGAAGTAATCTTAGATTTAGGTTTCGTCCCTGTTGGCATTCATCAGTCAGCAAGGCGTATCTACAATCCTGTAGGAAGTCATGTTCCCTATGAATTGTCGAACCCGTGTCACCCAGTACTGCAGTCGGAAAAGTTATCACTGAGCTATTCTGGCTGGTGAGTGACTTCCTGTAGAAGTGTAATGGGTACTTTCATTGAACGCTAGGTAGTAAGGCAGCCAATGTCTTACATCTAGACCTTCGTTTGATTTATTTTGAATTCTATTTATTTATCTTTACCTAATGATACTCATGAATAATTGAAACATAAGTGAATCATATTAAGTTTTATCATTGAATTAATGTATTTCCTGTACTTCATAAATCCCTTGATTGAATTCATGGTCTAAAATGGAATTATTGGTTTTGTAAATAACAGCGCGAAAACATTATTTAATAAAACAGCTGATTAGGATCAAGGGGTGGAGAGATCGTTGAAAATGAGGGATCACTGGAAATCTGCTTTGTCCTACTTTTGGACTCTTCGTCAGCGAATAGCCACGTGTCCACCAGGGTAAAACATCAAGTTCGTTGACCAATAGGCCACTTAGACTGAGATTCAACGTCAATTTTTGATACGAAGTTACCCTCAACAAATACATTCGACAAGTATCCACCTCATCTTGACACATGATGAACCCTACACTGACCACAACCTCTCTATACAGCTTCATAACATCTATCCAGTTGACATCAATGAAATGGAGATTGAAAGACTGACAGAATTTAGACACTGAGGGCTAGACGCATGATTTTACTTACTCTCTACTGCTAATGAAAGTATCCATTACAGTCCTATAGGAGGTCAATAGCTCTGTGGGGACGTCTCTGATTTTGAATCTCAAAGAGGATATAGGTTTCTTAAAGGTTGCAGATACACTTTAGTGACGAGTCCCAACAAGCATGAAATCTACGTCACTCAAGGCTTCGTTCCGATTGCTTCCAACCATCTAACACCAAGATTATGGTTTTCTTGAGCGAAGGTAGAATTCACGAGACATTGAATTCTGAGAGCTTAGCCTCATCACCTGAATATTCCGGGTTTCAACCTCCTTTGGGGTCATGAGTGTTAGCTACTGAAGAGTACCTGACTAGGATGAAACAGCTGTACGATTAATGCTTCCTGATCAATTAAATTAATCAAAATCGAAATATGATTAAAAGACCTAAAAATGAGAGAATTGAAGTGTTGAATACGAAATATTTGCAGAGTGATAGTGGATACGTTGTTATTGTCGTTAACGTTTACCAAGTAGAGTAGTATATTATGTTGTTTATACAATACGCTACTTCAGTTTTTGTTTAGGTCAATTTTCGTCTTCTTATTTGTTTATTACACTTTGAAATGCATACTAATGACTTATGATGTTTGTTGGTGTATGATAAAGACTCTGAATACATCAATTTTACCAGTGAATTATAACATTGTAATACACTAAGTAAATAGGTGATGTTTGAAGTGTTATTCTATTTTGTGGCAATATATAAATTATAAGTGGAGAAAAAAATATGAATAATATCTGACTGTTAAACAAGAAATTGCTTCAATATCTGTTGATGATGTCTCCCCAACAAGATATCACAGGAAATTAGCGCTTAGAATAAAATTGCAGTGATTAGCTGCTTCAGCCTGATTTACAGCTTTTGATCAGAACACACCTACGAACTCATATAGGTTCGTGATGATAGCATAAATAAGAGAGAATATAAGGCATCTACGGTTATACCATATAAGGAGGGGACGTCTGAGGCCCCTACGTAGGATTCTTGATAAAGCAGGAATTAGAGTGGCATTCAAACCTACAAACTCACTCAGAGACAAGCTCTGTAGGCTAAAAGACCCGGTGGACCCAATTAGACAAAATAATATAATTTACAAAATACCTTGCAATGACTGTGAGTTAAGTTAACTACATAGGTCAAACTAACAGATTAGGAGTAGTGAGATTATCGGAACATAAGAATTTAGCTAAGGTAAGAATGGTTGACCCCACCCGAGAAGATAAGTAATTTAGAAAAAAGCTCAGCGATTGCACTGCATGCATGAACACACAACCACACAATAGGGTGCGAAGGGGTTAAAATTCTAAGAAGTAATCTATGTAGGTGGAGAGAGAGATTGATTACTGAATCCTGGTTCATCGAGTCTACACCCAACACATGCAACAGAAATGACTCAACGCAAATACCAGAGATATGGAAGATATTATTACCACCAGTCAGTCAAATCAGAGGAGGATAATAAATAACCTTAAAATTCTATTTCATTTCAAGCACATCATAATATTCTAACAAGTTACTTATTATGACTATAAAAACACTCGTCTTGTTTCCCATCTGATTGTAATTGATGAATAACACTAATATTATTATTTCTTAATGTACATTATCCCATATTGATTTTTATTCAAATATCTAATGAATTCTACACATGTATATAAATGAAGGAAAAAGTTGTGTGAGAGCACCTTGATATACTTATGAGTGGCAATAGTTTGTGCTCGAAACGTGGTCATCAGTTGATATTACTGTATAACACTGTGAGACTTTGTCGAAATAAAATCTTATCCACAATGGAGTTACACTCTACTACAATGCCCAAGGTTTATACTTGTATGGGTTCAATCTTGTAATTATTAAGTTGTGAAATGAACACTTTACCAGCCTTGGTAGAGTGAATCAGAATCCAAAGATCACTACACAGTGTAGAAACGCTACTATGGTATGTAATAATTGAGTAACTTTTCCCAACTATACTTGATTTGTGCACCGGTAGTTCAACGGTAGAATGCCCGCTAACCATGCCTCATGTGGTCCAGAGTTCGATCTTCGTCCGACGCACCCCTGAATTTCTATTTGAGACAATACATCTTATTTTCTGTAGTTCTTGTTGTTATAATCATTCAGTTATATCCATGAGTCTCCAAAGGTACTCGTACACAATTTTAATTGGTTTGCAGCCTATCGTTGAGCATTTCTGTGAGACTAAAGAAAAAATAGAATAGTGGATTATTTCATTATTCAGATGTAAAATCACTGTGTCTCACATGATGTACTGGAGGTGGCTGTTTTACTTGAAACTACTGGATAAAGAGTAGATATTATGCAATAAACTATGCTGAAGATTGTGCATGTTGTGCAAACTCTTTGTGCAGAATAAGGCTATTATCTTTTACGAGTTGATCACGGATTGATATCAGCTAGAGAATCATTGAAAACCATCACTGGAGTACTGGACAGCTGTTTCATCCTGGTTTGAGAATCATTGGCAGTACGCACCACTGCCAGTGTTTGAACCTAGGACATTCCGGTTACAAGGCAAGCTGGTTCGTATACCATTCAGCCACTGGGACCCAATTCAATGGTCAGCCCATGAATTCCGACTTCTACCAATTCGTGATTTAGCGCGACCCCAACCAGTGCCGTCGGTGGGACATCCATCCTCACATGTGACATCTGGCTGGACCTCACTGGTAATGACTTCTCATTAGAACTCCAGGAAACTCCATCCTGTAGCAAGTCACTAGCGAGCATCAGATTAATTTTCTATAGTTTGGTTTGTAAGGGTTAGCTATGTTTTACAAGTTGATCACGGATTGATTTGGTTGGGGTGGCGCTAAGTCATGAATTGTTAGAAGTCGGAATTCATGGGCTGACCATTGAATTGGGTCCCAGTGGCTGAATGGTATACGAACCAGCTTGCCTTGTAACCGGAATGTCCTAGGTTCAAACACTGGCAGTGGTGCGTACTGCCAATGATTCTCAAACCAGGATGAAACAGCTGTCCAACACTCCAGTCTGATCTTCAGTGGTTCTCTAGCTGATATCAATCCGTGATCAAGTCGTAAAAACAAGAAGATAGGATAAAACATTACTAACCCTTACAAACCAAACTATAGAGAAAAAAGGCTATTATTATTATTTCTAAAATAATCAATATCACACCTGACTTAGCCGGTTGTATGCCCGGAAAAAGGAAAGTTTGGTGGAGTGAGGCTAGCAACCTTATCCCGTACAAAAAAAAATAACACTATTGCCACTGAAACTGCAAAGGTTAAAGCCCTATGTTCCACACGGAATTAGAAAAATAATTGGTGCATTTTACAGTCTAAGATTTTCTAATGAAACTTCTAGAAATATCAGCCTGTATTTGCTAATGAATTGGGAAAAATGTTGGTGGTTTTTTCTGAACATTTCTCAAAAAAATGATATCAACTGTTTTCCACGAAGAACTTTGATTTGTTTTAATTAAAAATAACTAACACAAGTGTTGCATGAAATTCACTTTTCTTAACTGACATGAGTCGATGTAACAGCGAATAGTTTAAGTGCATCAACAATCCTGTTTTGATTATAGTAGAATGTTTCACACTGATCATGATAGTAGTCTGAGTTTTGTCATGGATTGTTTTACTTGTGTTTTAGATGCCTACATGGTGAAATGTATGCAATGTGTTGTGTGTTAACTTGCGTGATTCTTGAATTCCGAGTGAAGATTGTTTCACCTCATAAATAAAAAGCTTCATTTTCCCTAGAGTAATGTAATTTCTTTCTAATCAACATTCAGTCTAATGATGTGGGGGGGGGGAATTTCAACTTATTTCACAGTGGTTTTCATCACAAGTCTATTTCAGTTACGTAACTATAAGAAATCGATTACTGTTTGAACTGGTCCCACACAGTTCAACTACCCCACTGGTTAGATGGGATAGAAGTATATACTACTGGTTGATTGATATGAGTAGTTGTATACTACTCGTATAAATCGAGGTGATTTAAACACCAGACGGCTATTTTGCTCGTTTGAGCTCGAGCG